TATTTTTCTTTAATTCTTTCATTAAACTTATACTTCCTCCGTTACGAATTACTCGCAACAAAGGGGTTTTATTTGTGAGACATAAAACATTTCTTTGTTGCGAGTAATATGTAACGGAGGGAGTATTTCATCTTCTATGCCCACTTCATCTTCATCTCCCCTCATCAATTCAACCGTTTGTTTTTCTCTCTTTAATTTTAGCCCCTCCACCTTCTTTATTTAATCCTCATTTTCAATTAAAATTTCAAAAATTTAATTTTTTTTAATCATGTTTTCAATTACACATCATAACCATAATGACTTATTGATATTTCCTAATTCATCTTTGAATGCAATATTCTATGAATAATTTGTGCATTCCACAGGCTAGAATGCTAGTTTTCATTAATAAATCCCATTTCTCATATTAAAAAAAAACACTAGCTTTTATTTAATACATGTATGAATGTTAATTGATTCATTTTCCTCCAACTTAATATCTTCTACAATTATATTTAATTTCCACCATTTCTTCCCCATTATAAACTATTCATTTTTCATTTAAAACATCTTATAAAATAAAATTAATATTGTATTGTACACCTATAAACATTCCGTGCATTGCACGGGTCGGAAGGTTAGTATATTAATTAGTTATCTAACGTCTCTTGACACTTGTTAGCTAGATTTTAATATAAACTCATTAACGGGCCATGAAATAATAATGAAAAATGTCTAAAATAAATGCCATTATTATTACCTTCCTCTAGATTGAGTAGACTTTTACTAAAAATAGTATAGTGCAGTCGGGTGCATCATGCGCATGATGCACCCGGAAATAACATTAGACATAAAAAAAGAACATACATGTGTTTGACAAATAAAAGAACATGTTTGCGTTTGACAAAAAATATGACACTACAAAAAAAATATAAAGTCTTTTCAAAAAGAACGTAATAATACATTAAAGGAACATGTTATTTTTCATGGTTACTCAAATGATGTCTTTGAAAAATAACCTTATGTTTAACAAAAGAATATGTTTGTATTTGACAAAGACAAAGGTGATCATTGGGAGGGGCGGGCCAAGGTCAAAAAAATCAGCCCACTTCTTAGGCCAGGTCAGGCCAAGATTCGGGTGCCCAAACTCCCAAACGCGCTCAAAATGGTCAGGTCATGCGGGCTTTTCGAGCTGGAAAAAAAACGCATAAAAACTCATTCCCAAACCCGTCCAAAAAAACAATGTTTTGGGCTAAAAAATTCTACCCAAAATCGAACTGAGCTAACTTTGATGACCCCTAGGCGATGAAAATAAAGCATTTACAAAAAGAACATGACAATACATTAAAGAACATGTTTTTTTTTTCATGGTTACATAGGTGGTTAAATTTAACATTTTTTTATGTACATACATTAAACAACATAGTAATAATCAAATTCAAATAACATATTATGCTCTCATTCTTTATAAATGTCTATAATGTTTTTTTTTCGCCCATATTCTTTTAAATATACTGCTTCCTCCGTTTCTATTTAGTTGACGCGTTTGATTTAGGCACATATATTAAGGAGAGGAGAGAGAGTGAGAGAGAACGAAAAAGCAAGTGGGATAATTTGTAAATGCAAGGTAAAAAAGTTACCCCAAAAGGAAACGTGTCAACTGAAAAAAACTTCCTAAAAAGGAATACGTGTCAACTAAGATGAAACGGAGGTAGTATGTACCTACAAGTAATATTCTTTTCGGATGCACCAACCAGACATTGGACTTTTACTAGCAAAACAATAGCAATTACTTCAATAATTTTTGGCCTTCATTTCAGATCTTTTATTACAAGGTACAAAGTACAAAGTACAAAGTAGAAAGAGATATAGACAATGTCAGACTCAAAGGTGGAAATATGGAATGGGCCTTTGTCCTTGAACCAATCAGTGGTTGATGATAATTGTAGACTTGTAGTCACGTCATTGGACTCATATAAAACACGTTTAAATCGCCACAAGGCCCACAAAATATATATATATATATATATACACGGGGAGGTTCCGCTAAAAACAGGGCTTATGGTGAAAACTAAAAACAGAAAATCTCAACCATCCATTGTTACTAACAAGATCTAACGGTTTAAAAAAAAATAAAATAATGTAGAGTCACTATATATAAAAATAACGTAACTGTATACAAAAATAGGGTAACTATATTAATTTTTACAACATTTGTCACTATATACAAAAATAGGGTAACTATACCAATTTTGATCCTATTCATAGAAGTCACTATATACAAAAATAGGGTAATTATATCAATTTTGACCATATTTACATAAAGGTCACTATATACAAAATAAGGTAACTATATCAATTTCGACCACATTTACAAAAATGTTACTATATACAAAAATAAGGTAACTATATCAATTTTGATAACCCCATTTGGAGGAGGAATCCAACGCCTTGGCCTGGTACGGGGGGCAGTACCTATATGTTGGGGAGGGTTCTTCAGCTTTTCTCACTCCTCTGTCCACCGTAGCACACGAGCCTTTAAGACAACAACTGGAGTTTCTTTCTCCTAGAAATTTTCACATTTCTATCTTGCCAAATCCTCCATATTAAAATCTAAAAAGAACTTACACTAACATATTTTTGCTAATAGCAGTGGACTTATAGCAATGGAACAGCTACACTACAACAAAATAAGATCAATTTCCTTCCAAAATTGCAAAGTTTCATCATATATCTCAAATCAGTACTACTGTAATACAATTTGGATATAGTGTACACCAATACTAGACAAATATGGGTTGTGACCCCTAAACTGAAGTTGGCGTTTCCTTATCTTGCTCAGTACCCTTGTCCTCATCGCTTTGGCTTCCAGCATAACCATTCCGTGACATCTTGAGCTCAGATGGAAGATTTTTCCTGGCTTTGCGGCTACCCACGATCTTCCATTGATCCCACACCTTTGTTTTTGGAGGTGGGGCAGTATCTCCAATGGGTGCAACCAAACCTGGTGTTGGAAATCTCGCTCAATCAGTGAAGGCGATTCAACCCAATCCCACTCTCCGACGACCAATTACGGAAGTCAATCACAGCTCTTCACCGATCTCATCTTCTTCGTTCACCCTTACCCCCGAACCAAACTTCGGTGATAAACCCACCCTCACAAACACCGATTGTAACCCCCACCATCCTAAATAAAAAAAATAGCAAAATCGCAAATTAATCAAACAAAAAAAAGCAAAAACCCTAAATTGAACGGGAAATCGAACAAAATTGAACAAAATCGAACAAAATGGAACAGAAAATCGCAAAATCAAACAAAATCGAACAAAATTGATGAAAAAAAGTCGAAAAAATTGATGAGCAAAAGTCGCAAAATCGCACTGGAAATCGAACAAAATTGATGAACAAAACACGCAAAATCGCACAAGAAATCGCACAAAATTGATGAACAATTTTAGAGAGAGAAGTTGCGTGAAGGAGAAAGAAGTGAGGGAGTGTATGTCTAATACACGAATTACTAAATCCCAAAAAAATCAAATCGAAAAATCAATTTGGTATTTCCAAAAACACGTATATAATACCAAATTAAACAAATATCATAAACGAAAACTCACTTTTTTGAAGCTATTGACGAAGATTGAACCAAATTCCTCTATAATTTGATGATGTTTAACATTGATATTGAATTGGGAAGCAGAGAGAATGAAGAAGATGGTGAACGTAAGATGGAGGAGAAAGAAAAATAGAGTAAAAAGTAGAGGAGTGGATGGATTTTCAGAAATCAAGGAACAAATCCCACGGTCAAGAATAACTATCACACGGATATAATCTCCTCCGTCAGATTAGAATTCAATGGTCTAGATTACTTGTTTTTAGTTTTCAGCCTTAGACTTGTTTTCACATGATCCACTCCCTATATATATATATATATATATATATATATATATATATATATATATATATATATATATATTAATTTTTATTTAATTTTTTTATTAGTTTACTAGATAATGCACGAGCTACGCTCGGTTTTTAATAATGGTAATTGAAATTAAATATAGAAGTCTCATGAAAAATATGGTCTAAAAATCCATCATAATAGATAATTAAATTGTAAAGTTTTTAGATACACTAATAATTCTAAAAATCTAAACGAAAAAAAATAGAGTTTAGGAGGGGAAATTCCCTCCAAATTTTTTTTTATGTAGTTTAGGTATATAGATATTAGATAGATGAGTTTAATATTTGAGCTGTAAATTTTTCAAAACGTAGCGTCACATGTACAGCTTTTGAAAAAGATAAAATCAGCGGTTGCTACTTTAGCATTAGTTATAATATATTTATCTATTTATTTTTTAAATGTGGATGTGTAGAGGTCCAATCAATTTGGAGCCATTTATTTTTGTTCTTTCATTTTCAAACGAAAAACACACCAAAAAAATTAAAATTTATTTAACACTTTTTTGTCAATTTTTAAAACATGATAAATCTAATAAGACTAACTTATTAATTTGTGATATATATGCTAATCCAAGACACATAATGGAGCGTAGTCTTGGATCAGCATATCACTTTGAACAAGAGATTGAGGATGCATTGAAACAAGTTTATGAGAACTATGACGAGCAATGTGCCAATGGCTTTGGTAAACAAAGGGACAAGAAATTTCCACAAAGTTCTAACTTTATTAGTATATTAGGGCCTGTTCATTTCAGTTTAATTTCAGTTTAGTTCAGTTCAGATTCAATAAGTTCATTTCAGTTCCTAATTTCCTTCTCTCATAAAATACTAAGTCCAATTCAGCTCCAATCAATTCAATTCAGTGTAATTCAGTTCAACCTACTTCTAGTAATTGTGAACAAACCCTTAGTATTTTATTAGTCTTGTAGACTTAGCTAATAAACCATGTCTTATACGAGTTTTGGATTTCATCATATAAGAATTATTAACATATGTTATATCGTCATACAACCTCAAAAGATAGATTTACTCTGAATATACAACAAAAATAAGATGAAAATAAAGGGACAGTTGCTCAATTACGAGTAAAAGAAAAGTCCATTGATATTGAGAGTCAACAAAAACGAAATGTAAATGACAACACAATAAACACTGGCTCCAAGTTCAAATAGAACGAAAAGAGCTTATTGACATTAAGAAAGAAAACAACAAACAACAAATGCCCCGTAAGCTTATTGAAAAAAAAAAACGACTCTCTTCATGTAAGTTGCGAAACACGTTAATAACATTAAGCACGTCCAAATGGCCCGTAAGTGTCAACCTTCTTGTACTGAAAAATATTGTTTAAAAAAGATCTTAATTAGAAAGTGATACTAAATAATTGAATAAAAAATCATACATATAATTTTAACAATAATTATCGCTAATATAATGTTGGATGATAATTTAATTACCTTATCAGATAATCCAATTGAGTTAAGGTAAGTTCCATAGGATCCATTAAAACCAAAAATAGTAGTGCCTTCTAATGGCACTGGAGTTGAGAAAGGCTTAGCTTCTGTGACCTGCTCTCCTCTTCCATATGGTCCATATACTTTTAAATTTGTATAGATCGTTATCGAAGCGATTCTGATATCCTGGTTGAAGTATTTTCCATACTCCCCGCTTACTTGTGTCATATACTCTTTTTCATCCAAATCAATCTGTATAACGAATGTAAATATAGTTCGAGTACATTATTGTATCTATACATACCTTTCAGTATGATTTAAAAACAATGAATCCGAGATATATATACTTATATATAAATCACTAGATATGGTCAGAACGTAACATAAAAGTTATATTCGTAATAATAATAATTAATAAAAAAAAAAATACTCGTACCTCACTAGTGTCCCCACCAGGTCCACTAAACATTTGGGTGCTGATCTTTCCGGTAGGACTTGATACTTCAAAGCCAATTCCATCGACAATGAATCCATGTTTGATAAATACTTTGGAAAATCGCTCACCATCATTAAGCTCAATTTGCCATTTTTGTCCACTTTCTTTGTTACCAAACGGTCCATGTTCTTTGATTATATTGCGCTGAAAATTAAAAATTAAAATAACTATATAAATATACATTATATACCAGCACAAATATTAGATTTACTTCGATTAAATGAAGAATTGTAGCACTAAATACAAATTCTTGATTTGGTATTGCTAGGAAGATCAAGGAGGGAGAAGATACCAACATATAAATAAAGTTCATTTAGATAACAAGTTATAAATAAACACATTACACACATGATCTTATAATGGAATTTGTTACATACCGCGTTATAAATTCCAATAGAATTTAAATATTGTCCATTGGATCCGAGAAACCCAACAATAGAACCATCCAATGCAAGCGGAGTTGAGAAAGGCGTTACATTGTTGGCCGCCCTGGCCTCACCATATGGTCCATACCCCTCTGGACGTAAAGTGGTATAAATCTTAATTGTGGTGATGCATATCTCCTCGTAGTACGTCCCGGTTGACCCGCTAATATGGGTGATTTTTTCTCCAACACTCAGCGGAATCTACATTAACGTACATATATTTACTTCAATCATATCATAGTAAAATCAAATAAATGATAGACCTACTTTTTACGAAAGACTGTATTTAATTTATCAAACCAATCAGATATGAAATAAGTGTTACAATTCAACAAAAGCGTTAAATCATATAGTACTAAACTCGACTCGACTTGTTGTTACATGTTATGATACCTCAGAAAGTGATCCGCCGGAGCCTGTAAACCACTCTACAGTTTTTCCAACTGAACCCGTGATTTCGAAGCCAATTCCATCGACAATGAATCCATGTCTAATCATAATTTTTGTGATGACTTGATCATCTTTAAGCTGGAAGGACCACTGCAATCCTCGCACAATAATTAACACAAAGGTTAAATCAAAGAAAGCTAAATTAGAGGAAGAATTTTTAAGAGACATATAATAGGGGGAGTACATATGTACGTAATAGAACTTAAATTCAAAGTTAGTGACTAGAAATTCGTACGTTGTTTATCGGTGCTGCCATTTGTGGTTGGTAACTTGGTAATTGGTATTACTACCGTGTGCTTAGCAAGAAATCAACGGGAAGGATGTTTTTTTTTTTTTTTTGAACAATATTTTTGTTTAAGTATGAAGTTGAGAAGGATGGTTAAACTCGAATGAGGATGAGTAAGATGTTCGATACATATATATAGTTGAGGATATGATGTGAACACTTAGTATTTTACCTATAAAATTAATCAACAAAGAATTCTTCTTTTAATTAGTCTATTAAAAATATGTTGAAAAATTACAGTTTAGTATTTATTTTTCAATGGCTAGCTTTTTTTTTTTTTTTTTTTCAAAAATGCATTGGAGCATCCACAATGGCTAATTATATACTATCTGTGTTAATTTTTATGTGCAACTTTAGAATATTTTACAACTCACAAATAATACCCAAAGTTGCACATAAAAATTAACAGATGTAGTATATGTAACTTTGGGTTGCCACATTATTATTCCTCAAGTAGAAATGACAATGGGGTAGGTCGGATGTGGATGATGGTACCTCAATATCCATACCCGCCATGGGCGAAGCCAGGATTTTAAAGTTATAGGAGCTGACTAAAACTTTAATAAATATTAATGTGAAAACGGGCTTGATCCTATGATCTAATTAAAACCCCAAACAATGGGATTCAAACCACTGCGACAATCGTTAAATACAACTTAAGTTATAACAAAAATATTACCACTCCCTTTGTGTTTTAATAAGTGTTTTCACTATGCATGATTTTGACTTGATTAATTTACCAACTATAAAAATCAAATGTCATTGTATAATACATCGTTATGTTCGTTATAATATATAACTTTCATTAGATCAACTTTTCTATAATTTTACTAATATATAATTACATAAATTAATGGTCAAACTTGTGCCTCGGCGTATTTGGTCAAATTGTAATACTTATTAAAAACACGAAGGGAGTATATCTGTTTCATATTATTTGCAATGATTAGACAATTTTTCTCTCTACTTTATGTCAAATCATTGCAAATAATATGAATCGGAGATAATATTAATTTGAAAAACTTATAGGGGCCAACAGTTAAGATTAAAGGCCACGAAATTGGTCCATGGGGGTCGGGCCTTCACCCGCTCCCCATGTAGCTTCGCCTATGATACCTGCCTAAAAATTTTATACCTATCCCCGCTCCACTACTCGTGGCGCGTACAATATCCACATCCATACCAACCCTACCGGTTACAAGTAGGATCCATTTCTGCCCCATCACCCACTTGGATATCCATACCCTCCCCAAAACCGTCCCAAACCTATTGCCATGATGTTGTATTGTATTACATTAATAACAATTTTATCAAATTTGGTTTCAAAAATTAGGACTTAAACTATTCAAGCTTATTGGGTCTTTTAGGGGATATCAAGTTTCATAAAGTTATACTCTTTTAAAGGAAATATGGTACGGGTATAAGGCGGGTACAGGGCGAGGCGGGTATGGAGCGGTCTACTCTAAAATCTATACCCGCCCCATCACCCATGGCGAGTATACATTTTAATATTTTATACCCATCCCCGCCCCATCACCCGGCAAACCTCCCTCATCCCCGACCGGCAAGTCTCCCATTTAACCCGATCCACTGCCATCCTTATCCTCAAGCTACATGATTTAAGTTACATACAACCTCTACAATGACATCTTACTTCCTTTTTTAATAACTTAAAAAAAAATCAGAAAACAAATACATTAAAAATATTAAACAAATTAATATATGTGTGTGCATTGGGTGGTGTGAAACTACATAGATCTATAAAGTTATGTAGTTTGGCCTTAACTACAACCTACGAAGCTCCACAATAGCTACTTGGTTAGCATATAACTCTTATTATTTAGAAATTGCAAACGGATCGTCTTATGTCCGGGCTAACAAATAAGTTGATATGGCCCCTTGAATATAATTATCGCAACCATTATTGATATAATAATCTAATTAAGGCATTATATTTATCAATACAATGATCAAGTTTAATCAGTAATTGTTTGTACATGATCCATCACGATTATCTAACTAACCAACTAGTCTTGGTCAACTCATCTATTGTGCTTAATTTCTTGCTGATTTTATATGAGATGAAATTGATCAAGTTCACTGGAATGAGTTCAAGCCATTGATTAAGGATAGCGAGAGTTTAGACCATTTACATTCTCAATAAGGTTAATGTTAACGAGTAATAAGGCCGGATCAGACATCAGAGGATCAATTAAGGGTTTTTTTTTTTTTACATCACTGTTACTTGAGAGAAACCAACAAGGGAGGGTGAATTGTAATAACTTTATTGGTAAAATTACTTGATATAATTAAACTACTTGAACCAATCAGTGATTGGTTGGTAGAACTGTAGCCACGTCAATGGGCTCATAAACCACGTTTAAAATCGTCACAAGGCCCACAACTATATGATTTTTTTTTTGTTTTGTTTTGTTTTGTTTTATTTTGTTTGTTTATTTATTTATTTTTAAACGTAGATGGTACTATGGTAGCGGTCCAATCAATTTTGGGCCATTCGTACTTTCATTTTCAAACGAAAAACACACCCCAAAAATAAAAAAAAAAATTAAACTAATACTTTTTTTGTCAATTTTTAAAATCATGAAAATCATGATAAATCTAATAAGACTAACTTATCTTTCTTTCAAAAATAATAAAAAATAATAAGACTAACTAATCTTTTTTCAATTTCATCCTAGAAGGATTGTTGTTGACACTTGAGAGTGAGTGTGAGGTTCTTATTAGGTGGAGAGCCTATTGTGCGGGTGTATATAACAAATTTAAGGCGGTGAATGGGAAGCGAAGAGTTGGGTCGTTGTTACTTTTTAGTAATGCTTGGTAGGTAGTTTAACTCTTTTTACTGTTATTTTGAGAATAATGCTTTTGTTCATGTTTATAGGGAAGCAAATTGTGTAGCCCACGAACATGGCTCATCATAGCCCGCTCGTGTCAGGGGCGGATCTATTAAGGTGCACAGTGAGTCACACCAAAACATAAAAAAATAAAAAAAATAAAAAAAAAACTAAGAGACCGCCTATTACAGATAGTCGGTCTCTTTGCTGTATCAAAGAGACCGCCTATTAAAATATCAGATAGGTGGTCTCTTTGTTGCTGCTATTGCCACCACGTCATTAGAGACCTGATATCTAGATAACATGTCTCTTTTTGTCAGAATAATTTTTTGCGCTGCTTTCATATTTCATTAAAGAGACCTGTTATATTTAATATCTGGTCTCTTAAGTTATCTAACTTTTTTTTTAAGTGAAAAATCATAAAGTTAGTTTAATGTAAGTTTTATAGTATGTATTTTTAGATCCTATTTTTGGATTGGAATCATTTTGGTGAAATATAATTTTTTTTATATATAATTTTTGGATTAAAACAAGTGATCTATTATTGATAGTGACTTATAAGTTCGAAAATCCTGGATCCGCCACTGGCTCGTGTACTATTATGGGTAGGATGTTGTCCAAGCGTGGTGGAAGATTTGATTGCCTCAGATTTTTGCCCAAGTGCTAATGAAATGTAGTCGGTGTTCCGACTTTTGCTTATGTGCAAATATTATGTAGTCGGTGTTCCGGCTTCCTAAAAAAACACTTATTTTTTTTAATTATTGTTAAGAAATATGAAGTACTATATATACGACACATTTTCTGTGTGCATGGTCACACCGTGTGGCCGGGGTTTGAATATAACCACTTCTTTTTTCCTTGTTCCGCATCACATCATTTGCATAGTCAAATTACCTATTTAAAGTTTTGCCCAACTTTGACCATCACCAACGTTAAGTCTCTTGTATCAATCACATTGGACGTTGATCATGGGATGTATCACTCCTGGGCCGCCCTATTCAAGGTGCTTGTTAGGGTTCACAATCACCATAATCACATTATTCCTCCTACGGAGAAGAAGGAGAACCTATGAGTCTATTCAATTAAATACACTTGTTAATTTGAAGGTGATAATTTGTTGCATACAAAATCATATAACGTGTTGCAACCATCAGCTTAAGAAATTGTAAATAAGATAAATAGTTCTCATTATTACATATTTAGACGACATGTTACGGATACTTTCTAGCAATTTATCTATGAAATGTCAAAAATACGAATTTGTAGTGTCCTATGCTGGAACGAGTACAATAATAATGATGCAACAGTGCAATAGAGATGTCAAATCGAGTACTTGTGTTACAGCTGGGAAAATAATTATAGTTGATTAATAATTTGGGCGGGAAATTCTGTTAAGACAAGTTGTTAGACTATTTTGTCGTTTTCTTGATTAGCTGTAAGATTCTTTAATTCTGTTAAGCTGGGTTGATTAGGTGAGCTGAATATATAGAGCAAGGGTTGTAATATTCTGATTAAGAAATACATTGAACCTTCTCCTAATCTCTCTCTCTTTCTCTCTCTCTCTCTCTCTCTCTCTCTCTATTCTGTTACTTCTTCTCCTTCTTCTTCTCCTTCTTCTTCTTCTTCTTCTTCTTCTTCTTCTTCTTCTTCTTCTTCTTCTTCTTCTTCTTCTTCTTCTTCCTATCTCCTATTTTCTGGAATTTACTTGAGAATTCTGTAATTCAAACTTCAGTCCATTTATTCCCTTATCAGTGGTATCAGAGCATACGATGCTCTCTCTGCTTTACTCTGGCCCCTTCAGTCACTACCCGAGTATCTAAGATGGAAACTCAGTTGCAGGCATTGGAGAAACGGTTGGAAGCTCATGCTCTTGCTTCTAATCAGAGGATGGAGGATCTGTCTTCAGCTTCAACTCGAAAGTTTGAGGATCTGTTGCATATGTTACAGTCTCTGAAGGAGCAGATGGCAGATTCCAGATCACCTCGTTCTGAGGATCGAGTCAATCAGCCTAAAATGGGGTATATACCTAAACTTGAATTTCCTAAGTTTGATGGTTCGAATCCTCGTGTTTGGATTAAGAAACGTTGCAAGTATTTTACTCTTTGTAAGATCCCTGATGATCAGAAAGTGGATCTAGCATCTCTTAACATGATAGATAAGGCTGAAAACTAGGTTACTAGTTATTTAGCTAATCGATCTGCTGTAGATTGGAATGATTTTGTGATTGATGTTAATGGTCGATTTAAGGATGATGTAGGTGTTAATGTGGT